TTTTGCTACATGCCCAAATATCTTTAATTCTGTTGAAGTACCATAATGAAGTACCATAATGAAGTGTCATGGTTAGTGTAATGTAATTATTGTTGTAGTGATAATTTAAAGTAGGAAAAAAAAGTCAACAACTTCTATATTCAATGGAGTCGTACGTGATAAGGGAAGCATTCTGAAATCTAAACTTTATCCTCCGCCCGAAGCATTTTGATTTCATATTTGACAAGTAGAGCACAATGGAACAAAAACAATACTATTAGACTGCTAAAATACGAACATGACAATGGGCTTGGTAACACTTCGTCGCTTTATCAGCTGAGATAGAAGACAGTCACTTTGGAATCGAATGTGGAATCCTGGACTGTTCGAGTACCGATGGTCGAATGCATAGCATTCCATCAATCGTTTGAGTGCGACAAACGTGATGAGAAAACTTCATGCGATTAAACTTTTCTTCCAAATTTATTCACATTGTCTTCTGGCGAGTCAAAAACTCGACTCGTATAGCAGCAGGAGAAATCTAAATGCTAGCATGAAGTCTGATCGGCATTCAAATTTTCTCGCAGCAACTTTGAGTGAATACAGGTTCTACGTCTGCTTTCTCGTTTCTTGCTCTATTATGATCATCTCTCAAGACAACAAAAAGGCAACTCAGTTGTAGGCGTCATCGATAAATCCAGAAAATTTCGACTACCAGCAATCATATTCAGATGACTACGAGCGTATGTGACGCCCCGCACACCATTCGACAGATAGATCCAGCCTCTTTTAACCAAACTACGTGTCTTTCATGCCTCTCAACTGTCAATAATCCAGCATCTGACGATGGTAATAAGTATCTGGGTAATGATAACAAGAGCGAGCCATTCTTCGACAAAAGCGCGTAATGAACTTCGCCGCAAGATATTGCGTTAATTAGTCCAAAGAACTCGAGCCCAAGTTTTGATGGGAGTACCAGCAGCCTAGGCGAGAGATAAGACTTTTCTGTCTCCACCGACGGATCCCTTCCAGAAATGTACACGGTACCATTTTGCAACAAGAAAAGTGAGAAGTCGTTCCCTCCGGCTATGGCAACAACATCACACCGTTCGCAACTTGCAATTCTAATTGCCATCACCTGTTTAGGTTCGCTTACGTCCATGTAACATCCATGACCGAGCTGACCTGAGTCACCACGCCCCCATGTGAAGAGTGCACCGTCACTGCTTGTAGCAAGTGAATGATCCTTCCCTGCTGCGATACGAACTACATAGCTATCCTGGAATCTTTTTGTCGAACTTACGTCGGGAGCCCGATCCGTCCAATTTGCTTCAATCTGTCTTGGGTGCTGAATATAACATACTCGACACATTATAAAATATTTTGTATTACAAACAAAAAATCATTTGAGAACTCACCGCCATTTCTACGAATAAATTTGCAACACGACCAAGTTTTCCGTATTTATTGCAGCCCCAAGAATAAACGCAGCCGTCAGCCGTCAGTGCAAGTGAATGATACTCGCCACAAGCTACAGAGCTCACATACAATCCTCGAAGACTTTCTAGCGCGGATGGCATTTTGCCTGCTCTGATAGATGTTTCTGAGGATGTGTAACCCAACTGGCCTCGCAAATTACTGCCCCAAGTAAAGACGTGTCCGTTAATATCAGTTGCAATCGCGTGAAAACCTCCGCAAGCAACTTGAACAATGCACTGCTGCTGTAGTGCGATGACACGTCGAGGAATGGTCACTCTTCGTGAATCACCATCAGCAATTGCGTATCCCAAACGACCGCCGCTGCTGTCTCCCCATGTGAACAAACTGCCATCTTCTGTAACCATTGCAAAAAAGCGCTGACCACCACCTACCTGAGTCACACGAGTGTCATTGAGTTCAATTTGCCTTTCGCCTAAACCAAATTTAACAGGATGAAGACAGAGAGCACAAGGCGATGTAACATCAGTGTCAATGCGCTCTTTTACTCCATTTCCTCCAGTTGAATCAGACCAATTTCCAATGATAGATACACGCTTTGCCGTCATCAAGTCATTTTGCTTAAAATCAATACTGTTCGATGGCTGCAAGCTCTTTTGACTAGCTTCTGCCCGTGCACGCTCCACATTCTCCATTGCATTGCTTAGATCATGACGTATTTCACGAGAAGCGCGCATGCACTTTGACTCTTTGATCGCTAGCGAGCAGCCGTAATCAGTCTTCAAATCAAGATTGGCACACTCTTGACAGTCGTCACGATGATCTGCTCTCAGCAGAAAATATTCGACAGCTACCTGGAAGTTTGCCATGGCAAAGCCGAGTGCTGTCGTACTGGAATTGATGAAGTGAAAATCTGAGATATATTGAATCACAGCAGTGATACAAAATGGCGTAGTCAACTCAGACGCAGCTTGGACCGACCCCCTTTGAAATTTTTTGTATAATTGCACCAGCACAACGAGTAATTGATCCAAGATATCATCAGTCGTCAATTGATATGCGTCTGTAGAATCATATTTACCTTTCAAAGAACGTCAACCACTACTGACCACTAAAAGCACCTTACCAAAGCTTAAACTACGCAGTTTGATATTCTGTGTTGTCGCATCGGTGATTTGTTCTATGCACCTTTTGAACACCAGAAGCATGTCTAACGGTGTTTTCTTCTGTGTAATAGTGAAAAGCGTGTCTCGCGCATCTGCAAGGAAACACTATGAATTATAACCAATGTTCCAACATTAGATCTTTTATTATCCCTTCACCTGCTTCCTGCCGTACCTGATATTCTTTTCTAAGTCCAAAGTCTTCAGGTGTATAATATCTCAATTGATACAGCACCTGGTGTAATTTTGCATCCTGTTCTCGGCAACTTGCCACAACAATTGGGAAGACGACATCATGTACATTTTCCATTAAATAGCACTCTACAACTTGCTGTATTTGCAGCAAATGGCCGTCGCTTTCCCCATATTGTATGCTGTCTTTTCCAACGTCATTAAAAGTTCCTGCACGGTTTAATTCGTCCACTGCAGTCTCCCACTCTTCTCTTAAACCACTCGAAAGAAGCTGTTTATGTTGATCAAACGCTTGATTATGAGCGCGAAGCTGCTTTATGTGATTAATTGTGTCATCTAGCTGATGAAACACAAACTCATTTTCTGGAAACGATTTGATAATAGCGGTATACTTTCTCAATGTGGCTACATCAATCTCATTTGGATCGTCTGGACCTTGAAGACCACCCTCTAATGGACGACTAATGTATAGCACGGTCACTTCTTGATGGCAAACGTTTCTTTTCTCTGATAGCAAAATTCGCACTCTGATACGATCGCGAAAGCCTTTGCCAGTGTGGACGTGAGAGCCGACGACTGTAACATGTTTCCCTTGTTTTCAAGTAGGAGTGCAAATATCTATTATTTAAAGTGTGAAATTAGACCTGAATGTAGAGGTTCTTTAATTACCATTTAGTGTATTGTAGGCGCCAAGTGGTCGCTTTGGCTCGGCGTCGGCATCAGCAGGTGTGAGGAAATGCGTATAAAGAACATCCTGTGTTATGGTGTCGCTAATGAGTAAAGCACGAGTGTGAGGAACGCAGAACAGACAGCGCGGGGACAGTGCGCGCTGTATTTGCTCCAATTCCGCACTCAAAGCGCGCAAGAAGGCATCACCCATTGAAGTAGCACTTGTAATTTAAGTGAAAATATCCTGAATATTCGTTTTTTAGTACAATTGTGTATATTTGAGTAATGGTATTTTGTTATACAAATGTCTTGATCTCTAAAAAAGTAAAGCTTTGTTGGAGTTACGACATTTGGGGTAGCGATTATGATTGGGGGATGGACTGTCACGATGTGGGTGAGAAAGCCAAATTGTTTACACTGCATGGCACTGTCAGTGATCGACATCCGGTCCCAATTTGCGGGTAGTACTGGGCAAATGACATCAACGGGATAGAGACGACGTGATAGCAACGGCTCCATGTGAACATATGAACATCGCCACGATGCGTGAGCGATGCCTGTTCGCGCTTATCACGCGTTCATGCAATTTACAGACTGCCAAAGTTAAGTCTGTTTGCCATGATACAATGGCAAAGATGATTGATTCGAAGCTCTTTCCGTACACGATGAAGCGGTGTAGAGTCGACGTCGTCCTAGTCGACATACAAGACAAGCTGCTTAAGGGTGCTGGCTTCATCAATCATCATTGTCGCGGTCTTCAAAGAACATACGTTCTTGATCGTGAACTATGCAAGTATCGATAGATTTTAATTGTTGAAAATCTTTTGTTGCTGAAATAAACCTGGAGATTGTCGGCTATGGATTGGTCGCTAGAAACACCTTCTGTTGCGAGGCTGACATCGTCGTGTAAAGTCTTCCATTGACGAGATGTTGGTTTTAAACATGGTTGCGAAGTTTTGCGAAATGTTTGGCTACGCTTACTCTTATTACCCGCAGCGATGATCAAGTCATGGCGTATCTGGGTTCGCGGGATAGACAGGTGGTAGAACCGTCGGAGAAGAAGAGATTTACGCGCTACTGGAATACCCACACTTGGTGATTCCGAATGATCTAATGCGGGAAGTCTGCAAAGTCTAACACCATTGACGGTAGAGCAAACGAAGATGATCAAGAATGAGGTTTCAAACGAACGAGGTGAGAAGGCATCAGCTTATTCGGATTCCGATCTGAACACCGAATTGATTGCCAAAAGGAGGCTAGTCGAAAATGTTCTTATGGACATCAATGAATGAAAAAGATAATTTACTCTGGGTTTAGTATAAGCAGAGAATTGTTTTTACAGCAAAACATTTTACAGCGTTGATAAAATGGAGGAAGCTTTGTGCTGGCTATTTCTTTAATTGATCAAAGAGTTTTGACGATTGAAGACCCAATTTTTTCATTTCGAATGAACGGTACTGCGGATGGACTGCTTATTAAACGACTAAGGGTGGTTGATCGACCATTTTACGCTGGCTGGGTGAGACTTTTTCCTGTTTTCCAAGCTGTTGGACAATTTGTGAGCTGCGGCATCAAACACTGTTCACCGTGTCTGTCGATTCATCTGAACGACCATCGGCATTCATCATAGTTCAGCGACCCAAGTTACATTACGATGTCTCAAGCACGCGTTTAAGTATATCGAAAAGCTGTGCTGGAACAATGAAGTCGATCTCCTTATCTCTACCATTCATTTCTGGATCATTTGATACAATCAAGGTTGATAACTTCTGACTTCAAATGGAATTAGCTTGCAATCTGCATCCTTGTGATGCGCTTCATCACCAGTAATCTTTCTAAACCAGACTTTTAATGTGTTGCGAAGATTTATCTCGTGACTATATTGCTAAACATGATAAAATTTGGTCAAACGTAAAGTGCAAAGTGTATTAAAAACGAGTTTGCTACTGTTCTACTGTTACGATCACTTCTCCTTTCTAAATTTCTTGTAAGCTTCCACGATTGTCTTAATATGACTCTCATTTTCGTCGTTCTTCTTACTGTCAAACAGTTTTTCTACTGTTGCGGAATCAAAGTTCGATTCTTCCCAAACACCAAACGTAGGAGTCATGTCTGTGGTTTCCGGCTTTGATTGCACAGCTTTTAGCAAATCCAGCGCACCATCCACATCGAGTTCATCAGCTGCCATATCCTTAAAACTCCGACTCCGTGCTGCCTCAGCGCTTAGTAGAGACATTGACTCAGAGTGCGATAATTCGGGGACCACCTTAGAGGCGATAATGGTGATTAGATCTTCAATTTCCAATTCGTGTATAGGCATCCTCTCTTCTGGGACTGTCCCAATTTCGTGAGTACGTAAGCGGCGGATGGTCATGTCGCGGTAATTAGAGCTGACACGAGCCCCGGGAGCAATGTATTCTTGATTTGGCTGCGTCATGACAACGTTTGCACTGATTGCAAGGAAAGCAGTCGCGAATTGCAACATGATGCAAATACTCTCCACACCAATAAATGTTTTGTTACAAAGTCTGTGCGCTGCTTCGATGAGCTGGTAAATTGAAAAATGATTCAGTGTTTGCTACAAGTAAAAGCCATGGCAATGTGTTTATCTCGTAGCCTCAGCCTGGGTTTGTTTTTAGTACATGTATATCTTCGAAAAAAAAGCTGGGCATAAATCAATTTTGATACGGATGCTGCCAGATGTTAGAATCGAGACAACCTCTCGTCAGCGCAAGACTAAATTTGTGAGCGACTTTAGTCTAGTCTCGATAGATTTACGCTCGCATAGCAAAGCAAACACTTAGTCTAAAAGTGAAGTTAATGATATTTATATTCTTTCTTGAAGCATTGTCTGAGTACGTACTTTGGACGAATGTAAATGCGACTTCTGCAAAATGCTGGTATCACTCTCCCGATCAGATTTCTGCTTGAATTACTCACCATTTTCCTGGAGAAATGAGAATGCTAAAATTAAAAGAATATTCGCACATTGTTAACCAATTTATACTCTAACGAGCAACTTTTTGAAGCACTTATGTGTATTGTTTGGCATAAATCAACATTTCAGATACTTACATCCACCGCTTCTACGTGGCGCGCACGCCTTATTCTTCGCATGTGAGCACTTAAAGTGTAATATTCTATGGAAGATACTGAACGATGTACAATAGTGCTCAAACTTCTTCACACTTGACTGTTGTGTATTACTGATAAAAACATCAACTTCAAAATGTTCGTGATAATTTGATTCCTGTTTTGATACTATCTCTCTCAAGTTAAAGCATCAAGAATGCATTTGATTTTTCACAGATGTGGTGATCACCTTCTAAGTCAGGTATATATTTGCAAATCTGATCCAAGCACGACCAAATGCTGACTATCTGTCTCGAAAATTTCTTAGCTCTCTGATATATAACAGTGCGCCTTTTCTTTGGCGTCGTCGATCAGATACGTTTGACAGTGCATGACTTAACAACGATTAAAGAAGTGTCATGGAATAAATATACTTGGTTTTACAATTCTTGTATTTCTTTGCATGGCATGTTTATTTTTCGTATCACAACTATAGGGCGAAATTACCGCCATGATGGACGCCAAATAGCTACCTTTTGACCGGAAAGTTTCCCGTTAAGGCCCTGTGCGCGTATTTTACATGTAAGTAATAAAGTTATGTTTTTATCAAACACCTAAGTGCATATAGCGGAACTGAGAGTCGATCGGGTAAGTAATACTGTTAGAATTAACTCTATAGCCACAGTATAAACGATTGTAGTCACACTACTTCCATTCCAATAACTGCACTGTGGAAGGACTAGACAAAGGGTGGATATGCTTTAATCCTTTTTTTGTATATTACTCGAAAATGCCTGTTTGCCGCCTCACATATCAATATTGAAGTTGCTGTTAAGGTTACCACCGCAAGGGTTCAATAAATAAATTCTGGAACTGAAAGTTTTATTTCCATTGAGTGATTAATACAGAAGGTAAAATGCCAAGTAAAATGATACATTCGGTGGACACACTTCATCATGATACTTCAACCAACAGGCGGTACTGTATATATCACCATCACGTTTACATCCAGTCTAAAAGCAATGTGCTTGCAGTTGAGCTAAATGCAACATCAACTTCAACTTTAAGAGCACAAACTGACTCTAAACGCTAGCAAACTTCTTTCTGCCTCACCTAAATTTATCTGCTGAGCTCTTTAAGCTACTTTTTATAACGATAGATTGCATGATTTGGCTCACAACGATGTACAAATACATCGTCATCTATGCTTAGGGTATGCATTACAGAATTAAAGATATGTGGGCATGTAGCAAAACCCTGATTTCTATTGATTCGATACCAGACATTCAACCGGTACAACTGGCTCTGCCACATA